CCTCCAACTCCTGGGCTCAAGGGAGTTTCCTGCCTCAGCCTCCCAAGTAGCTGGGACCACAGGTGCCCGCCACAACGCCTGGCTATTTTTTGGTTTCAGCCATCACTGTTGTTTGGCGGGTCCGGGCTGGATTTGAACCCGCCACCTTGGGTGTACATGGCTGGCGCCTTAGCCACTTGAGCCACAGGCGCCGAGCCTAGAATCTTTCTTACATATCTTGACTATTTTAATTCTGAGACAGGTGAATAAGGTGCCCAGCAGTGCTGCAAATGTGCTGTCTGGATCAGTAATTTATACTGATGCTTTCTTTGCTGCTCCTCATGGACACCTGTGCAGTCTTTGTTAGTTCTGGTGGGGTTCCAGAGACAGGTTGTTAAAACAAAGGTCCTCATAGCCCCTGCCTGTCCCCCTGGGTGTGACACATCAGACATCCCAACCTGAGCCCATCTCTTGGTTATCCCATCACACTGTGCTTAACAGAAACATGTGTAAGGTAGGGAGGACTCGAAGCCCTGATGCTGGTTCATGTTACCTGGCTGAAGAACACATCTCAGACACCAACATTTAAAATCACCCTTTTCTGTCTCCAGGTTTCTATGCTTCCAGGGCAGGCATGGTTGTACCCTTGTTCAATTTGCAAAGGAAGAGGCCAGGGTGGGAGAATGGCCTGAGCTCAGGAGTCAAGACCAGCCTGAGCAAGAGCAATACCCCATTTCTACTAAAAATAGAAAAATTATTTGGGTGTTGTGCCTGTAGTCCCAGCTGCTTAAGAGGCTGAAGCAAGAGGACCCTTGAGCCCAAAGTTTGAGGTTGCTGTGAGCTGTGTGTGATTCCAGAGCACTCTAGCCTAGGGCAACAGAGTAAGATGCAAAAAAAAAAAAAAAAAAAAAAAATTGGAAAGGGAGAGAAGAGTGGATTCCTTTTTTAAGGTGAGAAGGGGGTGATTATGAAAGGTGATCCATTTTAAAGGGTACTTACGGAGTTTGGCAATCTGGAAATTTATTCCTAAATCTCTCCATGCCTTTGGAAAGACCTCACATGCCCAGGGCACCCTGGCTCCATGCTGAAGATGCTCACTTCATCTGCTCTCCAGAGTGCCAGTGTTCTGACCCATGGCGGCCTCTGTCAGCTTGTCTGGACCCACTCACATGGCATCATTGGTCCCCACGACTTGCACCCATGACCACAGCTTCAACTTGATCAGGTGAGAGAGGACTTTATGAGTCTGTTCTCTCCCCCGTTTGTTTCATAAAATCAAACTCCCTGAAAGCTAAACCTTATGGGTTTGTCTACAAATCATAAAGGTTTGTTTCTCTCAGGAATCATGTCTGAAGATCAGTTTGGATTTCAGCAGCAGGGCAATCTCGGTAGTTCAGAGCAGTTTGTTATTTGACACCAACATTCAGCATCTGAGCAAATTCACCAGTTTCAGGCTCGGGAGAATCTAGAGGTGGCAACCCCTGCCTCTCAGCCCCAAATTATTCCTAAAATGTCTCACCAGTGCCCTGTGAATGCAGAAAGGACTTCAGGGAATCTGGAGGCATGTCCCAGGAGGCATGCCACCTCTCTCCTTTCTATTCCCCTGCTCCTCACTGCTGCACACTCCCTGGTCAGAGCCTGGGGTGGGTCAGTTGGGTGTATGTGTGGGGTGGTGATGCCCCAGGCTCTTCTCTCAGCCTAAGCTTAGGGTTTGGGGGGCAGCAGCTGCCCAGGGTGGGGGGCTCTTCTATTCCTGCCCACCTGCCCAGGGCAGGCCTGGGTCCTCTCAAGCACCTGCTGTCCTTGTCACACCTGAGGTAAGAGGGTTCTGACAGCCCCCTCCACTCCAGATTTCAGGGAGTAAGGGGTTTCCAGTGGCTTTCAAGCCAGCTGCCATCTACCAGCAGTGCTAGCCATAGAATTCCTACAGTGGGTGGGGATGACATTGAGTGTTGCCCCAGGGTTTCTGTCATTGTGGGGAAGATCCCTCTGCTCAGACCCTGCAGATGAGTGAGGGTGGGAGAGTGGGAGGCAGGATTCGGCTCCCTTCCAGTCCCAGAGCCCCTAATAGGAAACACCTACCAAGCACGTCTTAGGATACCTAAGCTGCAAGAGTCCGCAACTTTCCCAGCACGATTCAGTCCAGTTTTAAATATAACTCTTTCAGGACTTAAGGCTTTTTCTTCTGAGAGTGTTTTGCCCTCCAAAGTCCGCTAGCATTTAAATTTTTGTGAATAAAAGGGGAAAGAGCTTGTGCTTTAGACAAAGTGCGCTGCTACCTACCAAACTCCGCTGAGCTGGGTGTCTGGAGGTGGCTGCAGAGGGCGAAGTAGGGAAGAAACCCGAGGCGCGCGCACCCTGGCGGCTGAGAGATCCTGGCTGGCAGCGGCGGGCCAAAGCTGAAAGATAACACGGACATGTTTGGGGCCTTTGGGGACTAACCTCTGGGGATAAGCATCCCTTGAACATACTTCCGATAAAAACAAAAACAACTTGATCTAAAATAGGACCAAATAATTCTGACCACCCCATCTGCACAGCTCAGCGGTCAGGGAAGAGGCCGGGAAGAGTGGCTCATGCCTATAATCCTAACGCTGTGTGTGCGGTGGGAGTGGGGTGCTCCCGAGGAGTCCCGTTTGTCAGCCCTAGGACAGCCCTGCCTTCCTCCACCTCCCTAGCCCTCTCCAGGTCACCTGTATGCCACATGCAGGGAGGATGGTGTGTGTGTGGAGAGTCCACCACAACCCGAACGCCGTGGCCCCACCTTCCTCCCGGACTCGGATCCCCGCTCACGCATCAAGATTGATGGAGACCCTTGAATTTGCCCTTCCAAGCGACTGCCTGAACTTTGACTGGAGCGGTTTGCACTCCTTAGCAGAAAATTTAATTCTAAAGGAAGCGGTGGGCTGTCGGCCCCGCGTAGCAGTGGGTCTGCCGCTTTCTCAGCCCCCTAGCGCGGTGTCCCCAGCAGACCTCCCAACCCTCCGTCCCCTCCCCCTTGCCACCTCCTAGCGGGAAAGCCATCGGTTAGGGGGCTGTTTCTGATGGGTCATCCATGAGCATCGGCAGCTTGTTGGTAGGAGCTGAGCTCGCGCATCACCGCCGCGCGGTGACTATGGTTGCTGTTGCTGTTCTCACAAGCAGCCGAGAGAGCGCCCCTGCAGCGCCACGCCCTGGAGCGCTTGTCTCCGCTGTCAGCGCCCCTCTCCCAGCTCCCCTCGCCCGCCGGGATGCACTCACCGGTGCCCGGATGCACTCACGGGACTGGGCGACGCTCACCGGTCTCTAAACTGAGCCGAGGTGGCACGGTTGCGCTCTGCCGCTTTATGCGACTCGGGGCTCCGCCTCCAGCCTCGGGAAAAGGAAACTTACCAGTCCCGCAGCGGAGGGGGGCTCTGCGGGCAGAAACGAAACCTAACCTGCCCGGCGTCTGCGAGCACCCGGCGAGCGCAGCAGCTGTCTCCAGGGAGCGCTCGTCGGAAATGCAGATTCTCGGGCCCCAGAAAATCTGATTAAGACCCGCTGAATCAGAAGCTTCTGGGCGGGGCCCGAAGAGACGCTGCAGTTGCTCTCCGGAGGATTCCGGTGCGCTAACCGCTGCTCTACACCCCAGGTCATTCACGCCTGGACACTAGCCTTGAACCTCCACAGTCCCTTGACCCCTTGTCTCTGGAACAGATGAATTGGCAATTGGAGTCTTCAGTTCCCACGATGGTCCGCTGGAATTGGTTCCCGCAGTGGGGATGCCCAGCCCCTGGGTGCTAATGGCTGAGGTCCCTCTTGTCCCCAACCTCCACTCACCGTATGCACCCTCCCAGCATCTTCCCGTTTTCCTGTTTCTCTTTGCCCACTGCAAGGTCTCTTTGAAGTTTGGTTTATCTGATTTCTCCAGGATGGAAATCGGGGAGAGCCGGATGACGTAAGGCAGATGCAAGGGTGGCCCTC